AAAATATCTATATACTTGTGGCTCTTAAATTGTTCATTACCGTTTTTCAATTTTTTGTTATGTTTGATCTCCTTCCTCAATCCTTTGGACATCATCAAATATTTATCCCGTCACAACGTTGGACACCTTATACTATCTTTACAGAAGATAGGTGGTACCAAATCAAGAAATTCTTTGAAAACAAATTTGTTGTATAAATGGCCCATATTAAGAGGATTCACTTATGTATTTGTTTGCAAAGAAAATTGCAGCTTCATTTTACAAGATGAAAATATGCTAATTTTCATTTGTCATAGGGGCAGATTAAATTCTGAAGGAGGCTCCGCTGGACCTATAGGATGCATTGTTTGGACAACGGCCCATAGCAATGCACCAGCATATTTACTAGTGGCTTCTCATATCGAGAGAGGTTGAGGGGCGGTAGAACGCAATTCTATAAGAATGCACTGAAAATGGAAGAGATCCCTCAAATTGGTCAGTTCACCAGTCAGATTGATTATTTTCTCCATAACTGGAGGCACCCCTGAGTTGTACTCCCTCCGTTCGGAATTACTTGTCGCGAAAATGGATGTATCTAAACGTATTTTAGTTCTAGATACATCCATATTCGAGACAAGTAATTCCGAACGGAGGAAGTAGGTGTTACTGTAGACAAGATTGTCTCCTTCGGCAAATGCTAGAAATCTGAGCAATGGATGATATAGTAGTATATGGAGTCTGGATGTCATACTCCCACCCCAAGTCAGAGCAGCCAAAGGAGTTACTTCCCTAGTCAGACAAAGGAGTTTCTGCTTTTGTTTATTTAAAATATCTATATACTTGTGGCTCTTAAATTGTTCATTACCGCTCTTCAATTTTTTGTTATGTTTGATCTCCTTCCTCAATCCTTTGGACATCATCAAATATTTATCCCGTCACAACGTTGGACACCTTATACTATCTTCACAGAAGATAGGTGGTACCAAATCAAGAAATTCTTTGAAAACAAATTTGTTGTATAAATGGCCCATATTAAGAGGATTCACTTATGTATTTGTTTGCAAAGAAAATTGCAGCTTCATTTTACAAGATGAAAATATGCTAATTTTCATTTGTCATAGGGGCAGATTAAATTCTGAAGGAGGCTCCGCTGGACCTATAGGATGCATTGTTTAGACAACGGCCCGTAACAACGCACGGGCATATTTACTAGTGGCTTCTCATATCGAGAGGGGTTGAGGGGCGGTAGAACGCAATTCTATAAGAATGCACTGAAAATGGAACAGATCCCTCAAATTGGCCAGTTCACCAGTCAGATTGATTATTTTCTCCATAACTGGAGGCACCCCTGAGTTGTACTCCCTCCGTTCGGAATTACTTGTCGCGAAAATGGATGTATGTAGACGTATTTTAGTTCTAGATACATCCATATTCGAGACAAGTAATTCCGAACGGAGGGAGTAGGTGTTACTGTAGACAAGATTGTCTCCTTCGGCAAATGCTAGAAATCTGAGCAATGGATGATATAGTAGTATATGGAGTCTGGATGTCATACTCCCACCCCAAGTCAGAGCAGCCAAAGGAGTCACTTCCCTAGTCAGACAAAGGAGTTTCTGCTTTTGTTTATTTAAAATATTTATATACTTGTGGCTCTTAAATTGTTCATTACCGTTCTTCAATTTTTTGTTATGTTTGATCTCCTTCCTCAATCCTTTGGACATCATCAAATATTTATCCCGTCACAATGTTGGACACCTTATACTATCTTTACAGAAGATAGGTGGTACCAAATCAAGAAATTCTTTGAAAACAAATTTGTTGTATAAATGGCCCATATTAAGAGGATTCACTTATGTATTTGTTTGCAAAGAAAATTGCAGCTTCATTTTACAAGATGAAAATTTGCTAATTTTCATTTGTCATAGGGGCAGATTAAATTCTGAAGGAGGCTCCACTGGACCTATAAGATGCATTGTTTGGACAACGGCCCGTAGCAACGCACCAGCATATTTACTAGTGGCTTCTCATATCGAGAGAGGTTGAGGGGCGGTAGAACGCAATTCTATAAGAATGCACTGAAAATGGAATAGATCCCTCAAATTGGTCAGTTCACCAGTCAGATTGATTATTTTCTCCATAACTGGAGGCACCCCTGAGTTGTACTCCCTCCGTTCGGAATTACTTGTCGCGAAAATGGATGTATCTAAACGTATTTTAGTTCTAGATACATCCATATTCGAGACAAGTAATTCCGAACGGAGGAAGTAGGTGTTACTGTAGACAAGATTGTCTCCTTCGGCAAATGCTAGAAATCTGAGCAATGGATGATATAGTAGTATATGGAGTCTGGATGTCATACTCCCACCCCAAGTCAGAGCAGCCAAAGGAGTTACTTCCCTAGTCAGACAAAGGAGTTTCTGCTTTTGTTTATTTAAAATATCTATATACTTGTGGCTCTTAAATTGTTCATTACCGTTCTTCAATTTTTTGTTATGTTTGATCTCCTTCCTCAATCCTTTGGACATCATCAAATATTTATCCCGTCACAACGTTGGACACCTTATACTATCTTTACAGAAGATAGGTGGTACCAAATCAAGAAATTCTTTGAAAACAAATTTGTTGTATAAATGGCCCATATTAAGAGGATTCACTTATGTATTTGTGTTGCGAGAAAATTGCAGCTTCATTTTACAAGAAAATATGCTAATTTTCATTTGTCATAGGGGCAGATTAAATTTTGAAGGAGGCTCTGCTGGACCTATAGGATGCATTGTTTAGACAACGGCCCGTAACAACGCACGGGCATATTTACTAGTGGCTTCTCATATCGAGAGGGGTTGAGAGGCCGTAGAACGCAATTCTATAAGAATGCATTGAAAATGGAACAGATCCCTCAAATTGGTCAGTTCACCAGTCAGATTGATTATTCTTCTCCATAACTGGAGGCACCCCTGAGTTGTAGGTGTTACTGTAGACAAGATTGTCTCCTTCGGCAAATGCTAGAAATCTCAGCAATGGATGATATAGTAGTACTATATGGAGTCCCAGCCCAAGTCAGAGCAGCCAAAGGAGTTAGTACTTCCCTAGTCAGACGATAAGTACCCATAGATGCCTCGTTAATGCCAGCATACTTGTGTCCACTGTCCAGGCTACAACACTACCATGGGTCCACAACATATACGTGAGGTATTTGTTTGCTCACCAACAAAAATCAGTCCACTCTATTTAAAGGGAAGAAAGAGCCACCAGAACTCAAACAAACACAATTGTTGTTCTTAAAACGAGGAGAGGACTGGTGCAATGCCAAAATGGTAGCCCCAAATAGTTGTGTGATTGGACTAGAATTAGGAGTCATCGGGAAGAAAACAACTGGCTTCTCCATAACAGCCTCCAGCAAGCTCAAGAAATATAGCAGGTCCAGTACTAATACCTGTATGTATATGCGCTAATGGCCGGAGATTACCTACCCAATTATGTCACTTTTAAGCCCAAAGTCCGTGGAAACTACCTAGGTGAATACCTTTGGTGAACGCCATGTGATTGTCGAGTAACAATAACTTACTCATCGTAAGAAGGTGACGTGCACTACTTATGACGACGATGTCAAATCAAATCAACAATAAGCCCACCAATTCAGGCTGAAGCACAGGCGCTGAAGCTAGCTGCCATGCTAGCCAAGCCAAGCAAATGCATATGCAGGACGCCACGTTTCTAACAGACTACCTAACGCTAGCGAAAGCAGCCGCAGCAAGAAATCCAAGGAACCATCCTCCCGGGCGCTGAAAAATCAGATCAGCTCTTGTAGATTTCTGTGTATTTACAAGTACTTTATCAGCTCAGGTCTATATCACATATCCAGGACTTTCAATGAAAGCGCTCACATCTTCGCTCAACGGTCGACAGTCAGGACACTGTCGCTACCACAGTTTTTTAGCGGCAATAGTTCTACCCACGATTAGAATGCAATGCCCAATGTTTCACAGATTTTATCCCCGAGGGCTTTGCTATCCTCAGTGTAATCTGTGCTTCGGTGGAATATATGGCGCCTGCGCCTTTTCTTGTTCAGAGAAAAAGAATGCGATGTGCACTACTTATGCCGACGACTTCGAATCAAATCAAGGACCTAACATGACAATGACATGAGACCACCAATTCGGTGAAGGTACTAGTAATAAATCAAGTGAAATGTACATGTTGTTCACATGGCTTCTCACATCGAGAGGGACTGAGAGACAGTAAAGTGCATTGCTATAAAGAATGCACTGAAATGGAATAGAATGGAACAGATCCCTGGAATTATGAATTAGGCGCCCTAAATATTTATAAGAACTACTCCCTCCGTCGACGTTTTTTTATTCTAGTGTAGTGTCAAAAAAAAACGTCTTACATTATGGGACAGAGGGAGTACATCGGTGAGAACTAAATGTAGAAAAAATGACTCCCGATGATCATGCAGCTAGTATCAAAAATTAGTAAATCTGGGTTTTTTTAAACAAATCTGGTATGTTTTGCCAGAGCCTAAGTGAAAAGAGGAGTATAATATAAATTACCACACCTGTACAGCAAAAACTGTGCAAACAGCCAGGAAAATCCATATTTAACAGATAAACTTATGCTCAGAAATAAGATATATAGGTTACTTCTATTACCACAGATTAAAGCAAACTGGACACAGATCCATGCTGTTCACATTCAGAAATGGTAGCGACGATATAAGAGTTGACAAAAGATAAAGACAACGGTTCGTCAGACTCATAAATGACAACGGTTCATCGACAGTCACCTAGGGAAAGGGTCGACTACTAAAGAGACTCAGGATGCGACTTTTTTGCATCTAAGCTTGCACATAGGCATATACTAACCAAAGGTGACAACAGGGTGCTTCCCAATCTCCCATAGTCTTATTCCTGAAACACGCAACAAAAAGTTCAGGATAATGAAAAGATTATCAACCTCAGACCGAACATCCAAATTGCGAAGGCTTACCCTTTGTCCTGATATACAGGGGTTTGAATCCCTCAGAAAATTTTGCCACAGATGGGCATGTCATCGAAGCTCCAAAGGTCCATGTTGCCAACGACATCCTGAGGCACATCAAAATTCAGAAGGCTATCAATCGGCTCATCCACGCCATCATCCAAAAGAAACCTCATCCAAGGTTCAAAATCAACAGCATTGTTCTCCATAACAGGAGGCACCACTGAGTTGTAGGTGTTGCTCTGGACAGGCGCAGATTCAGCTCCTTCAGCAATCACCGCTGGGTTGTAGGTTTTACTCTGGAGAACTGCAGACTCTGTTCCTTCAGCAATGGTGGAAATGGGAGCAATGGATGATATATCTGGAGTCTTGGTGTCATACTCCCAGCCCAAGTCAGAGCAGCCAAAGGAGTTGCTTCCCTGGTCAGAGTACATATTCATAACAGGAGCTTCAACAGAGGCAGCAGAGTTAATTGCAGGAACAAATGGCATGTTGTCAGGCTGAACAAGCGGCTGCTTTGATGCAAAGTCAGCAGATGGGTAGACGAAAGCATTTGGGTTGGCAAGGTTGTTGACTGCTGGTATGACGGTAGGTTCCTGTGCTACGCTTGACTTGGGAACTTTAGGAGCAGCAGGGCAAGCACGGCGCTTCTGAGGAACTGTTGGTTCCTCTGGAAAGTTAACCTTGGCCTTCTTGCCACGGATCCTTCGTGCTTCAACATCATAAGCTCTTGCAGCTTCTTCAGCACTGTTGAAAGTACCAAGCCAGACACGGACACCCTTGCTAGGATCTCTGATTTCAGCAGCCCACTTACCCCAGGGGCGCTGGCGGATACCCCTGAACTCGTTCTTTCTCTTCCTTTTTGCTGACCTTTGTGCAGGACCATCAAAACCAGCAGTAGTCATGGTGCTTAAGTCATCTGCAATGGAAGACCAATGTCAATGCTAAGAGAGACCAACAGACAAACTTCTCTCACAAGAAATAATTAATTTCATCATGGACATGAATTCATATGTAAAATATCACAATCATAATGAGTATTGAACCATGATGGGTGCTATCCTCTTCAAGTTTGGGTGAAAGCATCAGTCACCCGCAAAACAAATAAAATAAAATAAAATAAATCACAACTGATAAAAATCCAAGATTCTGATAAAGAGACTTCATGTTATAGACCTTTGCTATCATTCTGCAGTTATTAATCTACAAATCCCATTATACACGATGCAGAATCAAGGATATTTTTAGTAGGATTCAACACTTAGTAGAATAATCTTTTAGACTGATAAATGAACAAGTCTAGAACAATCCTCATGCAAATCAACAACCATCTAACAAGGAAAGATTCAAGAGGCCGAGACCTCAAATGGAGAAATTCGGCCCTTCCCCTTATGACTATAAACAGCAGTAAGCATATGAGTCACCATCAAAGCTCATGAGAAGTATAGATCACAAGATCAGCAACCTAAACAACCAAAATCGCTTCTCTAAAAGGAACAGTGCGGAAACAGCCTACTAGCCTAATTATTTCAGGCTAACATTGGAGAGTAAGCCCTTGACCCAAATCACTTCATGAAAACGCATCCAATCGATTCCAATCCAAAATCTCTAAACAAACAGGTCTAACACCATACAAATCCAGCCTTCCAACACCAACCCCTAAACAATTTCTCTTCCTACCCGATCGAACAGCCAAACCACTGAGTTGGTTAAGAGGGACCAACACAGACAAACTTCTCTCACAGAAAGTAAATAATTTCATCATGGACATGAATTTATATGTATAATATCACAATCCTAATAAACATTGAACCATGAAGGGCCATGTTTGGGTGAAAGCATCAGTCGCCCAAAAATAAAACAAATAAAATAAAATAACAATCTAATAAAAAAACAGAGTTTTGATAAACAAACCTCATGCTATAGACCTTTATCATCATTCTGCAATTATTAATTCTGCAAATTGCATTATAGACGATGCAGAATCAAGGATTTATTTTCTCAGGATTCAGCAAGTGACATAATAATCCTTCCTGTTTGAGAAGGAAAAACAGAATAATCCTTCACACTGAGAACTGATCCTAGTCTACAGCAACCCCACGAAAATCGACAACCATCTAACAAGGAAACAGTTCAAGAGGCGAGACCTCCAAACAAAACGGAGAAATTCGGCCCTTTTCTGCGGATTTTCAACCCCTTTTGACTATAAACAGTAAGCATATGAATCACCATCAAAGCTCACGAAAACCATAAATCGCAATGGACAACCTAACAACCCAAATCGCTTCTCTGAAAGGAACAGCGTCAGAAACAGCCTGCCAGGCTAATCATCACCAAACAAACACAACAGAGAAATGGAAAAAGGCCTAACCCTTCACCCAAATCACTCCATGATATCAAATCCAATCCAAAATATCTAAACAAGCAGGAGCAACACGCCCCCAAATACAGCCTTCCGACAGCAACCCCTCCACGATTTCTCTTCCTGCCCAATCACGCAATGTCCTATCTTCTAGAGCAGTCAATCGCGGACGGTAACAATACGCGGATTAAAGAACCAGTCCAAGCGGACGCGGGGCCGATACCTTGGGAGAGGGACCTTTTGACGGCGGCGAAGGGCTTGATCTCGACAACCTCGTCGTCGCCGTCTTTCCCAGCAACCCCGGCGCGCCCGAGCTCCACGTCGGAGTCCCCGGAGTCGGCCTCGAACTCCTCGAAGTCGGCCTGGAAGTCCTCCTCGCCGTCGTCCAGCCCGCGCCCCCCGCGCCGGCCGAGCCCCGCGAGGCGCCAGCCCCCGCCGTCGGCCCGCTTGGGCTTGTTCTTCTCGGGCCACAGCACCGCCGCCGTCACCTTCCGCGCCGGCGCGGGGACCTTGAGGTCCTTGAGGATCGCGCCGCCGCACATGATTGCCGGCGGTACCTCGTCCTAGTCGTCGCCGATTGAGGTTCGCCGGAATTGGTAAATAAATGGGCAGTTTTTAATGAGGTGGGGGGAGCAGGTGTGGGTTGGCAGGTGGGGCGAGGCCAGCCCGCTATATACGCGGCGGCCGCGTGACGGCTGCCCGCGAGGCGAGAGGGGGGCGCGGTGGGACCCACGCGTCAGCGACGGGCTGCGGCGGGCGGAAGGCACGAGGCAGGTTCGCGAAGCGAGCGTTTCCAGTCGGCGGAGTCTTGCGCGGTGGCCCCTGGGAGATGTGGTATTTAGAACATTGCCCCTGGGGAATGAAGAGAGGGATATGCGTTTGACTTCCTTTTTCTTTTGAGGTAAGCAAACATTCATTAGCTCAAGATTGTTGTACTACACACCTGTAGTAGGAGTATACTACTACTGTTCGTACTCCCTCTCAGGGCCGGCCCTGAGGGGGTTGCGGCAGGGGCGGCCGCCCCGGGCCCTCGAATTCCAAGGGCCCCCCCCCCTCCCACATATGCAGGTAACCCATGGCCCAGGTGTCGGTAGCCTTGTCTCTAAAAAACGTAGTCGATAACCAACATGGACATGGTCTTTTTTTCAGATCGAGTTCACTTGTTACAGGTTCGTGATGATCTTGGTAAATTCCTTTTCGCCTTGATTATCAATCGCAAGCCGGCCACTCCGGACTCATCTAGATCGTCCTCGCCATCGACCCCAAGTCTCGCTTTTGGTCGGTGAGCCGTCAAACTCTACTATCAATTCGTCGACGTTGCCGCGTAGGTTGGAGGCCTAGGAGATCAATCCATCATTAGCAATTGGGCTAGCGTGGCGTTTTGGTGAGCCATCCTTGTAAAACAGAATGACATTGCACAACATGGACGATCTATGCAAAATAAGTATGGTGTGGACGTGTGAGACCGTGTGTGATTTTCCATGGCAAGAGCATGAAAATTACATATACAAAGAAAATATTTGCCATATGGGAAAGGCGGAGATTTGCCATCGCAACAAGAAACATCAAAATATATTGTAGAAAGAAAATAATGGAAAGAAAATTGTGTCTTCCCCTTGCACAATCCATTTCTTGTGAACCTAGATGGGCCCATCGTATAGTTAGCCATGCTTATGAAACTAGTTTTGCCAAACATGGGAAACTATAATTTGGCAAGCATAGAGAAAAGTAGCAAGGGATGTTTCTAAATATTTGCCATGATTGTATGAAAAAATATGAAAAAAATCCATTTGAGTAGTAAACATTTTTCATGCATTTGACATGCTATGGATAATTAAAAAGGTCCAATACCTACAATGTGAACGAGTACAAATTATCTAAAAATCTGCCAAAAAATCAAAGTGACATTACACATACAGTTGCCATGATGTATAGTTTTGCCATGAGATGGACAGTTTAAAATATGTAATGGCATTGAACTATAAGACCTGGCAAAATGCAGTAAACAAACTAGAATAAAAAAATCTAAAATGGGTCACATAGTAAAACTTTGAAAACTTATTGCTATCTAAGATTTTATTGTAAAATTTGCCATGAAGTTTTGGTTTCTAGTTTGATGGAAAACTTAGGAAAAGAAAAGTACAAGCGATTTTATATAGAACATGGCAAAAAAACAAGAAATGTGTTTTATGATTGTTGATCTCTGGTTGATGGCAAATGTAGGAAAAACAAAAGGACAAGTGACATGGCAACTTTTAATGTCAAATGCATAAACTGATTTCATAATAGTTTGTTCTATGGTTGATGGAGAATTTAGAAAGACAAAGTGTGTGAGATGGCAAAAATGATCTATGTGTCATGGCAAATCCACAAACTGCTTTGAAAATGTTGTTTGCATGGTTGATGGCAAATTAGGAAAACAAAGTGCAAAGTGATATGGCACTTTAAAAGATGATTAGTGGGTCATGGCAAATGCCTAAACTGTTTTGAAAAATGTGTTCTCTTATCGATGGCAATTTTAGGTGAACAAACTACAAGTGACATGGCAAAAATAAAATAAAAAGGTTGATGTATGAGTCATGGAAAATGCATAAACTGCTTTTGAAAAAGTCTTTCTTTGGTTCATGGCAAATTTAGGAAAACAAAGTAGAAGTGATCTGGATTTTCTTTTTTGTTTTATAGGTCATGGCAAATGCGGAAACTACATTGGAAATTTTGTTTTCTGGTTGATGGCAAATTTAGAAATAAAAGTACAAGTTACATGGCATTTTTAATGACATACGAGTCATGAAAAATGTAGAGGAAAAATGCAATGATTTCATGGAAAAACTTATGATTTTTACTCATTTAAACATGGCAACTTTAAAAAAAATGTTATCTAGGAACACTACTCACTAGAAAATCATGGCAACTTTAGTAGAATTTGTTTTACCAAATGATGGCAAGAATTATGAAAAATGTGTAATGGTCAAATTTTGAAACAGAAAAAGATTGAAATTCTGATTGTCATTGCTCATCTTATCAACCCAAGTCCGTTGCATTGTAGTGTATGGATATTCATGGCGGCCTGTGATGCCAGTTCGGATGCCATCCATCCCGACTCTACTTATCTTATGATCTCGGAGTTGCCCAACAACCCTAGCCCCCACCGCTCAAAATCGACCAATGTCAACTAAACACACAAAATCTTCCCGATCTCCCTCAAAATCTCCCCAATCAACATATCCCCGTTTGTTCAAGGAAAATTACCGGTTGTGGATGGTGACAGAAAAAAATGAAAGGTGGACATGGGCATTTGTAACGCCCCGGACGCACTCGCCGGTGGTCGTTACTCCTGGCGGGATCTAGACTGTCCCCACAGATTAATACTAGTCTTTTCTGCGCACTTTGTTCTCACTCGTGCGCACCCGGGAGCAACTTTCGGGTCGGTCATCCATCCTGACACTACTCCAAGCTAAGCACGCTTAACTTTGGAGTTCTGTCCGAATGAGCTACCAGAAAAAAAAGAAATTCCTTATTGATATGAGTAGTCTATCATCACTAATAAGCCAGGCCATCACAGCATTGACGAGTACCTTCGCTAGGAGAGGAGCAACACACGTCGGTGCTTCCCATATAGCCCAGCAACCGCCTGGAGCTCCTCGTCACAGGCGGCACAAATCACGGCGTGCACAACTATCGGCGCTAGTGCTTCCCATCGAGCCTGAAGGTGGCATGCTGCCCCTCCTCGCGACAACATAGATCAGGACACGCACACAGCTAGGGGTGGTGCTTCCTATCGAGCATGACAGCATCGTGCAGCTCCTCACAGTCACACGCGGACCCCCATGGTCGCCAAATATGGAAGGAATGAGTAGCGTACGGCGAATGCAGAGGGTGTGATCGTCTGGTGGGCAAATGGAGTAGCCACGCCGAAACCCCCTATGACTGTTGGATGAGCGAAGGCAGCAGCCGCGTGTAGGGGAGA